GAGCCAGGGCTGGGGCCATCTGCTCTCCCGGCGCTGCCTAAATCCCCCTGTAACAAATTCATTTGGATTATGCTGCCCTCCCCTAATCCTGGCCCATCCCCCCGCGTGGGGGATTTAAAAGGATTAGAGCCCGGCCGATAATAAACTTTATTAAGGGGGAGGGGGGGTGTCAATCCGATTTGGAGCCTTTTTCTTGATATCTTCACTTTGCCCAGGTGGGAGGCGAGGGCTGGCAGGAAGGGGAGGGGAGCGGCTGGCTCGGCTCCTGCCCAGGCACGGGAGCTCTGCCTCCTCCATCCTTTCCTTCCTCCCTGCCCTTGAGATGAATTCCCTTGTTCGGTCTTTCCTTCTTTAACGCCTGTGCGTGGTCACACCTCCGGGGGCTGTGGTGCTGGCACCCCGGTCCCGCCACTGCTGGCCCACTTGGCCTTGGCCATGTCCCTTTGCCGGGTACTCAGTGGCCTCATCCCAGCGTGGAAGGGGGGCTGTGTCCCTCCAGCCCTGCCCACCACCGGGTGATGGATGGGGAAGGTCTCATCGCTGCTGCCTCCTTCTCCTTGATTTCCCTGAGGGGTTCACCCCCAACATCAATAACCTCCCTTGCACCCCCTCCCCGCCAGCTGCTCCCCCGTGGGGGACGGAGGGATTGCGATGTGGGGCTGCCCGCGGTTACCTCAGCCCCAAAATATCTCCGCGGGAGTGCCAGGGGTGGGCAGGGGGACGCTGTAGGTGGGTGCACGGGGGGCTGCGGCAGGAGGGTGTGGGGGATTAGGGCTGGGGAGGTGGGCGCTGCCGGAAGGGGGTTAGCGGGATGCCCAGATTAGCACCCCCGACAGGCCCGCGGCGTAAAGCTCCGTGCACGCAGGAAAAAGAGAGTCTAGTAAATAGACTTTCCGTAATCCTGTTTGGTGCAGTCCCAATCCTCCCGGCCCCGGCTCTCCGGGCTGTGGCACCGGAGCGTCCCCCTCCAACACCTGGGGAACCCCAATTCAGGGCGCAAAGGGGCCAGTGCAGGCAGGAGGCTGCGGCAGAGCTCGGTGGCCCCCACACTGTGTCCCCCCCTCAGGATGGGGACTTGGGGACAGGCCCCCACCCCAGCCCTGGCACAGGGGGAGCATCAAACTGTGCCGTGGCCACACTCACAGGTGGGACAGGCTGTCCTGGGGGATCCCCACACCAAGCCCCGCGAGGTGCCCTCCCCGATGGAGTTACCCCTTCCCGGCACTGCCTCGAGCCGGGGGGTCCCTGGGGCTAATTACTCAAATGGCCTCAGGCTGGCGTGAGGCGGCCGCTGTTCCCTAATACAATTTACCCTCAAGTGCAATTTAATTTTCCACGAGGCCGGTGGCCGCCCCCCACACACACCCAGCCACCCTCCCACCCCTTCGGCGCTCGCTCCTTCGAGCCTTGCCCCTCTTCCCTTTCCCTCTTCGGCGCAGGCAAGAGCCTTTCTCCGCCGGCATCCCTTCTCCACCCGCGCTCCGGCCGTAAAATCACCGGGGGTTCGCTGAGCGCCAATTAATTTTCAATTACAATTAGTGACGCCCCGTGCCTGCGAGGGGAGAGGCTTTCTTCGGCTGCTGGTGAGTACCCGGGTCTCAATATGCCTGTCCTCGCTCCAGGCCACCCCTGGCAATAGAGATGTATGTGGGAGGGGGTAATTACTGGGATAAATCAGAAGTTGGGAGTGGTGGGGGTTATGGTGCTGCGGCCGGCGCTGCCCAGAGGGGAGGTGGCCCCATGCCTAAGGGTGGCTGTGGCAGCTTTGTTGCTGTAAGGATGTCTCCCCTCTTGGGCTGGGAGAGCTGGTTTTGTCACATAAGGGGACTCTGGGGGGCTGGGCTGAGACCTGGCAAACTCACTGCACGGGTGGCACAAAGCCTGGCTGTTGGCTCAGCTCCCCAGCACCTCCAAACCTACTCGGAGTTTGCTGACGAGGGACCCAGCTGTGCTTGCACCGCCCAGCCTGGGTCAGGAGTGGGTTTTCCTTACACCCCCCGCCCCCAATTCTGCCGCGAAACTCCCCTGTTGCATCAGGGAACAATGCACCGATGTCCCCCTCGGTGACGCGCTGCCCAAACCAGCCCCAATTCCAACGTGCCCAGTGCTGAGGCGCAAAAGGGGAGGCTGGGTCCGTGTGTCGGCACAGCTCTGGGGTTTACCTGCATTTTACTAATGATTAAGCCCGGTAGGGAAGGCGCAGGAGCACCGTCCCTGCTCCTCTGTGGGTTTTCCATCACTGCCTCACACTGCTTGTGTCTTCATCCAGCTGCAGGGCCAGAGGGGTTTGGGCAATGCCAAGGTGGAAGTGGGGCAACTGAACGGGGCCAGACCCCCCCAGACTGCCTCACAAATGCAACCTGATGAAAATTATGACATTCAACCGTTCTGCACCGCCCCTTGGCTCTGTTTTAGCTCTGGGAGGAGGAGAAAGCCTGAAGGGGGGCCTTTCATACCCGTCACCTGTAACCTCCCTGCTTGGGCAGCACCAGGAAGGACCCAGCAGCATTTTGGGTGGCACTGAGGGGGTTTGCTGGTCAAGAAGCTCGTGCCCATCTCCACAATCCCCTCCTCCTCATGTGCTGAGATAACTGTGTGCTGGGGAAAGCAAACCCAAAAGAGACCAAAAAAGCCCAGAAGTGACCTAGAAAACACCCAAAGAGACCAAAAAAACACCCCCACCAACATGAAGAACAGATGGACAGCAGGAAGGACGGAGGGGAACAAAGCAGTACTACAAGGAGAGGAGGGGATGAAGGCTCTGCTGGGAAGATGTGGTGAGCCGTGAGCAAGCAGAGGGGAAGATGCTGGTGGGGTATTTTTTTAGTGGTGGGAGCCCCCCCTGCAGCACGATGCTCCCCCCAGGTGAGGACTCGGCGCTGTGCGACTCCCTGTGCCCACTCATCGCTGCCATGAGTGATCCCGAGCGGGGCAGAGGGGGCTGGATCAATCTGGCAAGGCAGAAAAATGAATGAAAATTGAATTCCCCGAGGAGAAGGGGGTGGGGGGAGCTGTTATCCCGGCTGAGAGATAAATCAGAGCGTGCCGGAGAGCTGGGGGACTGAGATGACTCCCAGCAGCGGTGGAATAATTAGGGAAATAGGTTGGAAATGCAAAGCAGCGGGACAGGGAGGCGATGGGGCAATGTCCGTCTGTCCGTCTGTCCGCACATCCGGCTAAACTTCTCCCGTAAATCTGCCCTAGGGACCCGCCTTTCTGCCTGCTGAGAGCCACACTCCGGCTGGCTGGGGACTGGGGGGGACGGTGACCCCTGTCCCGAGGGGCTGCGGAGCGCAGGTGGCCGGGGGCGGCGGGGGCTGCTTGTGCTTAATGCACTTAAGAGCCGGAGCTTGGTTTAGGGGAGAAGGGGAGGGAAGCGGATGGGTGAGGATGAGGTTCATCTCCCCCGCCGTGCGAAGTCGATTTTGGGGCTCTGTGGAGTGCGGGGTGAGCCATCTCCTGCAATGAGTGTGCGCCAGTCTCTGCCCGGAGGCGTGAGATGAGCCTGACAGGGTATTGCTTGTAAAAATGAAGATTTGGGGGTCAAAACTCAGCAGCTCATAGAAAAACTTAATTTTTTTTCTTAAGGAACCCTCAGGCTTAATACATTTTTTTGGTTCTATTACTTTTATTTTTAACCAATTTTTCCCGAGCTGCTGGCTTGTCCCACATGCAATATTTCCTGACGGGGTGGTTCAGGTTTTTTTCAGGTGGGAAAAGCCTTTTCCTAATTCGCATTTCAAAGTGGAAATGAAGGCATGGAAAGGGCACATGTGCTGAGGGTGGCTGGGTGAGTATCCTCCCGCACCCCTCCCAGCACTGCCACGTGTATCACCTCGGGGGTTCCGCCCTGCCCAGCGCTCTAAGCACCCCTCGGCCAGGCAGAGCAGAGTGTCCCAGCACATCGGGGCTGTTTGGCACCGTTGTCCCCGAGCCGGTGACACAATGAGCACCAGGAAAGGTGATGCTCGAGGCACCCACTCTCTGACTTAACTTCATCTGCATTTCACTGAACTTCCTTGCTCAGCCCTTTGCCACCAGGCACCGCCACACTGCTGTCCCTCTGGTGGCACAGGGTTTTCCTTGGGCAAAGTCCCGTGGGGGTCCTCCTGGGAGCCATAGCCACGCCGATCCCTTTGCCCCGTGGCTTTGGCATCACCACCCTTGTGCCACCACTGCCAGCTGGGCTGTCAGACTGGGCATGCTGTGGAGTTGGGCTGGCTCTTTCCATGCCCACGTGTGTCCCTGAGGGAGCCACGATTGGGAAGGGCTCCGGGTGAGTGTTACAGTGCTTCTGTGGAAGCAGAGCTTGCCGTGGGAGTTACCAGCCACCGGACAATAACTGATATTAGGAGGTACCAGTCACCGGGCAGTAACCGGTGTTGGCGTGATAGCAACGGGATGGCGCTGTGCCAGTGTCTGCTGGAGCAAGGAAAGGTGCCCCCCTGCCTACGCCCCCATTGCCAGCAGCAGGAGGGACGGGGCTGGAGCTGTATGCCCCAAGTGGGGACTTGCCAACACCTTCCATGGAGTGTGAGAAGAGCCCGGACAGCAGAGATCACGGCCTTTGGCTCTTCACTCTCCCAGCAGAGGCTCGGCCGGACAGAGCTCCCTGGCACCGGACAGGACCATGTCGCGACAGCGCTGTGTCGCGACAGCCGCTGGAGGCCGGCCCGGCCCCGGGGCACCTCGAGACCCCGCCCCTTCCCCGCAGGCCCCGCCCCCGTGTAGAAGCCCCGCCTCCTCGTCACCAAGCCCCGCCCCCTCCTGCGCGGAGCGGGCGCTGATTGGCCGCGGGCGGCCCGCCCCGCCCCCGCCCCCCTGCGGGCGGTGACGTCACGCGCGCTCCCCGCAGGGGAATGAATGGGAGGCGGCACCGGCACCGGGACACGGCACCGGGACACCGGGACACGGCACCGGGACACGCCACCTCCCGCCGCCGGGCTCCGCCGGCCCGGCCCGCCGCTCTCCCGCCCCTCTTCGCTCCCCTCCGCCGCCCCCCGGGCCAATAAAATGATGCAAAGCTCCGCGCTCGCTGCCGAAGGGGCTGTCAAGGGGCTTCCCGAGATCCTCGGTGTGCCGGTGCAACGTAAGGACCATTTTCTCTTCTCCTTCCTTCGCTCCGTGCCGCAAGGGCGGCCCCGGGCCGGCGGGGCAGCGCCCTGCGGGTGTGCAGGTGCCTCCGCTCCCGGTCGCTCCCGGCTCTGCCCTTCCCGTTTGTTTTTCCCAGTGTGCAGCACCGTTAATGGACGTAAAAATTTGGAGCGCGCGGGAGGGAGAGCGGCGCCCCGGGGGAATGCGGGCCCGGCCCCGATGGGGAGGACGGTGCGGCCGCGGCTCCGGCTGTGCGTGTACAAGTGCGTGTGTGTGTGTGTGTGTGTATGTGTGTGTCTGTGTGTGTGTCTGTGTGTCTGTCTGTCTGTGTGTCTGTGTGTGTGTCTGTGTGTCTGTCTGTCTGTGTGTCTGTCTGTCTGTGTGTCTATCTGTCTGTGTGTCTGTCTGTGTGTGTGCGTGGCCCCGATCCCCTCCCGCCCCCGCGCACCCCCGGGCCCGCAGCGCACGACACCCCGCTTATATCGTTTATCGCGACAAGGCAGCGAACGGCGGCGCTGGGAAGGGACCCGCGGGTGTGCGTGCGGGTTATGCCGGGATGGCGAGCCCGGCCGGGCGCCGTGGAGCGGTGCCGCCGTGTCCGTGTCTGTCCAAAAAGCAGCTACAGGTAGCGCGTTCGTGGGGGTGCAAATAGGATACGCGTGTGTGTGTGTGTGTGTGTGTGTGTGTGCGCGCACAGGGCAGATGGACCCCACAGGTGGATGGACCCGAGCAGGACGCGCCGGCAGCCGGGTGTAGAGGCCGTCGGCCCCCCCTTCCCTGTAGCGCCGAGCCCCGCGCGGGGGGGAGCCTATGGGCACACGCATCCCTATGGATACCCCCTATGGATGGCGGGGGGCGGCCGTGGCCGGTGCGCAGGCGAGCAGAGGTGGCCTCCGCGGGTATTATTATTATTATTTTATTTTATTTTATTTTCTCCTCGTTTCCAAACGGTTCCCGAGACCCAGGCCGTCCCTACGGGCCCGGAACGGGGGGACCCCGCCGGCGGCAGTCGGGCGAGGCTCGGCCCCCCCAGAGCGGCACCAGAAAAGTTCAGGGGAGGGAGCCCAGGCGAGGGGGGAGAGCTCGGGAAGCGGCGTGGGTAGAAACGGGCCTGAGCCCCAGGAGAGCCCGGCCGGGGTCCGGCCGCATTTCGGGGGACCCACTGGGTAACGGGGGGGTGCGCACCCTGTCGCCTGCCCGCTCCGGGCCGGGTTCCCCCCCAACCTCTCACCGTCGCCCCCCAGAGCCTCCCTCGCCGTTCCGAGCCCTGCACCGGCCCCCGCCCCCCCCCCCCGGGCTGCTGTAATTCGTTTTCCGTGGGTGTTTGGTGGGGAGCGAGGCCGGTGCCCCTGCCTGAGGCTGCTGGCGACCGGTCTCCATCCTGCTGGGGGAGGCCTGTCCCCGTTATCCCTCGTTTCGGTCCCGTTGTTGGGCTCCGGGAGGGGGGCAGGTGGGCCCGTTTAGCCGTAATTCACCGCAGCAGAGAGGAAGAAAAATCCCGGTCAGGAGCACAGAGCCGGCGCCGGTGCAGGGACAGGGACGGGGACAGCCAGGGTCTGTCCCACGGCCGCATCCCGACCGGTTCCCAGCGGCAAGGTCACTTCTACGGCCTCGGGCCCCCCCCCCCGATTTAGGGAGAAATGAGGTGCCTAAATCACTCTGGAGCAGCATCGCCCCAGCACAGCTCCTGGTTTGGCCCTTCTGGGGTCCACCAAACTCCCCTGCCCGTGACATTGTCATTCCTGTACCGACTGATGGATGTCAGCAATTAGCAGGAAAGAATCCAACGAGATATTATTATTATTATTATTATTACTACTATTACTATTGCTATTATTTCTATTATTGCTATTATTACTATTATCATTGTTTATTTAAGTGCAAAAAACAGCCGCAGAAGTAAAATAGAGGAGGGTGGGCTGCTATAAAAGTTTCCATCGTTCTGTGGTTCTCCCGCTGCCCCAGCCCGATCCCCGCGGCCGCTGCCAGCTCCCAGCCACCTGCTTTCATGTCGTGACAGCTTTGGGGCCTGATCCTGCCCCAGTTACACAGTACACAGTCCCCTCTGGGCCAAAGGGAATTGCACCTGGGCAGGGGACCCCTTCCCAAGGGGGAGCCGGGGTCTCCTCCCAGCCCCCAGCAGCCCCTCGGTATTTCATCGTACGTGCGAGGAAAATCCGTGACATTTTAATTTCTAATCGCTATTAAGTCGCAGATTTTCCTCTCAGTTTAACCACCTTATTTAGCAGAGACTGTGTCCTACAGCATCCTCTTTACATCACCCTCTTCTGCAGGATTTTGGGGAGCTGAGCCCCTCCTCCCCCGCCCCCGACAGACCTAGCTCAGCCTTGCAGACGGGATTGTTAAAAATAAAATTCCAAATATTATTTATGAATATTGTTTTGCAAATCTCACCGAAGTCAAAACTTGTGCCAAAGCCTGTGGGAACGGTGCCCGGGTGCCGGCAGGCTCTGGCCAAGGGGCTGGAGGGAGGGGAGTGATTAATCGCCGCTGGGAAAGTCGTTTGCCCGCAGCAGAGAAATGAATTGGAGGGTTTTTGCATGCGAAGGAATGATGATTCCTCCCCGCAGAAAGACTTTTTAAGGAATCCCCAGTGCGTTGCTTTCTTTGGGTTCGGTGCAGGCTCCGGTACCGGGGGGAAGGAGGGGGTGTAAATGGGGCCGCCTTTGTGCTCCGGTTTTCCACCCGCATTCCCGGGAACCCTTTCTGCAGCATCCGCGGGTGACCATCCCTTCCCCTTAAAAGAGCAAAACGCAACCCAAAAACAGGGGCTGGTTCGGCACCCCGGTGCCCGGCAGGGCCGGGCTGGGGGCGCACCGGGGAGTGCATCTCCCCCGCCGCTGCCCCCACATCCCCCCCCGCTCGGTTTCAGAGGGGTTTTTGCGGTCTGAGGGATTACTGAGGCCACCGGCGCGTTTGTTTCGTTTCCATCGTTATTTCTTTAATTTTTTCCCCGTCGGGGAGAAACAGGGCTGGAGGTTGGACCCGTCGCTAATAAATCACGGTGGCGGCGGGGGCGTGGGGCCCCTGCCAGGCCATCGCTCGGGCCCCCGTGCGTGGGAGGCTGCGTGGGGAGGCGGGGGATTGCGGATCTGCCCACGGGTTTTAATGGGATACGGCCAAATCCCCGTCCGGGCAGCCGCCGGCAGGAGGCAGGGAGGCACATCACCCCGGGGAGGGGCGTGACTCCCAAACTTACCCCCCCCATGCCCCGGGGAGCGGTTTGTATTGAGGCTGCTGCATCCCTGGGGTGGTCCCGGGGTGGAGAGGAGGGGACCCCGCGGCTGTGTCACCCCCCCACCCCCGGAGCATCGATCAAACCACCCTGCGCACGGAGCCAGCCCGGGTTTGCTGGTGGGCAAAGACAGCAAGGGAGGGCGTTATTCCTGTTGTATCAATTATATCCATTAACTTTATTCCTATTCTACCAAATAATTTAGTGGAAACGAGCGCAATAAATGCGAGGCAGGGAGGCAGCCGCGTCCCTTGCAGAGCACAAAGCAGGTCGCGGGGCTTGAATTTGAGATGTTTTCTCCCTGCAAACCATTGGGCTGATTGGGACATCTCCTGGTTCCCCTGGCAGCTCCCCCATTATTATTATTATTATTATTATTATTATTATTATTATTATGCACAGGGGGAAGCAGCCAACTGGGTGCGAGCTCTGCACTTCTGTGTGCACGCACAGACATCACTGCACACACAGTGCATGGGGTTGGTGCTGTACTTCTGCAGCGAGACTGGAAGGAAAATCGGTCGCTTCTTGGAGAAAAAAAAAAAAGTAGTTTTCTCTGGAAATTCGAAGGGAGATGTTGCGTTATCGGCTGCAGTTGTTTGCCTGTTGAAATGGAGCTGTGTTGCTGCTCTCAGGGAGGAGAAAGCTGCTTGTTAGTTGTGAGTGTGTGTATATATACATGTAGAATGTGTGCATATAAATACAGACACGTGTTATATAAACAGTCATTTATATATAAAACGTTTCCTAAAGGTGCGCTGGCGTTTGTGAAATAACCGAGAAGGATTTCCTCGGGCTGATGCTGAGCTGGTGCCATCGCCGGTGCCAGCGGCTTTTGCATCTCTCTCGAACAGGTTTAACAAATCCAGTGTGGAAAATGTGGTTGGTGCCCACCTGCAGCCGCGGGGGTGGAGAGAGGGGAGAGAGGCATCCAGGTGTTCTCAAAGCGAGAAGGAAAACAGGGACCTATGCAAGCTGTAGAAATTTTGCTTTTTGAATTTATTCTGCTGTTGTTAATGCGACAGGGGCTTAAAATGCCAGCAATAACTACGGTCTGAAGGGCGCTGGGATTGTAACTGTCTAACGTGGGGAATGAAATAAGCTGCCTTCACGTGAGGTACGTGTCAGTACCCCAAAGGATTTTGAAATAATGTTACTTGAGGCTGTAACAATATAATTATTTTCTGTGCTGTTTTTCTCCTTTCCCCCTTCTTTCCTCTTCCCACCTTCTTTCCTATTCCCCCCCTTCTTTATTTCCTTCCTCTTTTTTTCTCCTTCTTCCGTCTTTCTTTCCTTTTCCTCTTCCCCTTTTCTTCCCTTTCTCCCTTTTCCTTTATTCTCTTTTTCTCCCTTGTCCAGTTTAATTGATTTTCTCTCTTCTCTCACTCCTTTTCGTTTCTCCTTTATTGTTTTCTTTTTTCCCATTTCCTTTCTTTCTTTTTCCTTCCCTTTCCTTTTTTTATCTTCTTCCTTTTTGCAAATTTTTCCCCCTTTTTAAATATTTTTCCCTTTTATCTTTCTCCTTTTTAAAATATTTTTCCTTTTTAAATATTTTTTCTTTTTTAATCCTTTTCCTTTTAAAATATTTTTCTTTTTTAAATCTATTTCCTTTTTATACTCTTCTTTTTTTTTAAAATCTTGTTCCTTTTTTTATCTTTTTTCCTTTTTCACATTTTTTCCTTTTTTAAAACATTTTCCCTTTTAAAAAATATTTTCTCCTTTTTTAATCTTTTCCCTTTTTCCTTTTTTATTCTCCTTTTTCCCCCTTTTTCCCTCCCGGTAGCACCCAGGCCAGAGAGGTAGACCCCTCTCCCTCTCCATCGCCTCCCCCATGCCTTGGGCAGCACAAGGACACGTTCTTCCACCATTCTCATCCCTTGTCCTTTGCAGCCTGGCTGTGCCACTCCGACTGGGGACAACCCAGCCCCTCCTAAGCCTCCTCAGCCTTTGGAGCAGCATAATTCCAAAAAAACCCACCCCCTTTTCCCCATCGTAATTTTCTGCCAGCACCTTCAGGCTGGGGAGGGAGCAGCCCTTGTACAAACCATCTCTCCTGCTCTTACTCTCCAGCTCTGGGCATGGTGGTGGATTTTCCCCCAAAATCTATCTGCTTTCATGTGCGTGGGTGAGCTTTATGTGCCTGGCTTTTACCGGGAAATCTGCTCCTGCAGACTCTTGCTGTACCTCCCATTTATTCCAAGCTACGGGCAGAGAGACAGAGGAATATCCAGCTCTCCAGATCTGTGGAAGCTGTGTATCTATAGACGAACGTCGTGTAGGAATCTGGATAGCCAGGGATACATCTTGCCATAAGAAAAGCCTTCCATCTGCAAGCCTTCTTTCTCACACAGTGTGAGAGGCTGGATGCGGGGAGGGCTGGATGGGACTGGACCTGATACCCCCGGATAGCTCTGCTCCAGCTTGGCCTTGCTTTAGCCCACGTTTTCCAGCCGTTTCCAGCGACAGGAGTCTGTAACACCCTGGCTGGATGGGAGAAAGCAGGCCGTCCCCATCACAGAGAAACCGGAGTCCAAAGGGATGTTGGACGATGGAGGATGCGAAGGCATGTGTTGCCCTGGCACTGCAGGGAGAGGGGCACCTGCAGGAGGGGCCGGCATGGCCAGCACGGGGGCTCGTGGTCCTCGGGATGCAGGGGGAGCAGAGGGGAAGCGACTTTTGTCCGTGTTGACAAAGCCTTTGGCGGTGAGGTGGAGGTGCCCTGCACCCCCGGGTCACAGCTGGGACCCCACAGTTGGTCCCATGGGGACCAACAGGCTGCGTTCCTGTTTGGGAGTTGTGGGATGCCGTTCCAGAGGGAGCGAGAGGCAGGCAGGGAAACAGGTGTCAGGGAGCAGGACGTGGTCTGGAAAACGGGGTGCAGAAAGGAAAAGCATCACGTGTGTGTGTCTGTGTCCAGAGGAGCCGGTGGGACCGTAGGCTTTGCTATCCCAGAGGGTTTTGGCAAAGGTCGGCAAAGGCAGATGTACTGGGGCACCTCCTCACCCCACAAAGCCCTGGCATGTGCCCATGCGGGGCTTTGCCAGCCGGGTGGGGGCCCCGCGGGGCCGACGGGGCTGCGGGGGCTGACGCTGCTCTTCTCTCCATCCCTCTCCCCCCCTGCCCAGAGATCCCCCAGTGCGCCGGCTGCAACCAGCACATCCTGGACAAGTTCATCCTCAAGGTCCTGGACCGGCACTGGCACAGCTCCTGCCTCAAGTGTGCCGACTGCCAGATGCAGCTGGCCGACCGCTGCTTCTCCCGGGCCGGCAGCGTCTACTGCAAGGAGGATTTCTTCAAGTGAGTACCCCTCGGGGGCACAGCCCCCCCGAAAGCGGCGTCTCCCTGCCTGAGAAGCAAACACACAACCTATTTTTAAGCATAATTTCGCCAAAATCTTCCTACGCCTTTTGTCGTTGTTGTTTTTGTTGTGAAAAATGAAGGGAATGTTGGTGCTTTACAGCTGCCGCAAGCTGGATGCTGGTTGTTGGGATTTAGCCATCTGAAAGCCCCAAATCTCCCTGATGCTCCTGTGCCTCCCCTGTGCGGGTGTTCAGCCCCTCGGGGTGACAACCTGCGGCGGTTCGGCAGCGGCCCCGGCTCCGCTCGGAGCTAGAGGGCAGGAGAAACCCGCACAAGGCAGCGATAACGCTGCCTGTTCCTTTCAAGTCCTTCACTCGCCTCGCCGCGATTTGCTGATGCCGTTTCTTTCCCTTCACCTTTTACCTCTTCTTTTGTTCCCTTTTTTTTTTCTTTTATCCTTTTTTTTTTTTTTGCTCCCATTAGTGTGAAAACCTCATTTGATTGCGTTGGCAGCTGCCTCGGAGCTGTGCAATGCCCCAGCCTTGGCGTTTCCCTGCTCCCATGAGACAGGACAACCTGTTCTCCATTAAAAATGGACTTCTCAGTGGAGATGCTCTGGTCCCTGGCGGCCGGTGACATTTGGGAGTTTTTCCCAAGGGATGGCAGAGGGTCACCTGTCACCCCTCACCACCAGCCAGCTAAACCGACCGATGGCCATTACAATTACTCCCCAGACAGCACTTTACCTGCCTGCCCATCCCCGGGCTCTCAGGCCTCCCACATCCCCCACATCTCCTCCCCATCCATCAGGACCAAAGATGCAGCTTGAATTTCTCCTTCCCAGCGACGGTCAAAGCAGCCGCTCCAGCCTGGGTAATAACACTTCACTTCTGATATTTTCCAGCCTATTAATCTCCAAGTCATTTAAATAGTCGCCCAAAAGGTGCGGGTAATCAATGTTAATTGGAGTTGAAAGATCAGTGACTTTCTCAGATGAGGTCCTGCTTGGATTATTTGGTGCCAATCAATAGCAGCTCGGCGCTCACCCGGGCACTTGCCTCACCTTTCCTTCACCGCTCATTGATTTTGGGATAGGGAACCTGTGGAGGACGTGAGGATTTCGGCTCAACGTCAGAGGCAGTTGGAAATGTGGGAGCTGCTTCAGAAAAGATCAGATTGATTTTTGATTTTTATCTTTTTTTTTCCCTCGCCTGAATCGCAGCTCTTGGTCCCCAGCCGTGGGTGTCTCTGTGCTGGGACCGGCCATTCCCAGGCGGTGTGAAACCCCCCCCCCCGGGATGCTGGAGGAGGTGTTAAAATGGCTTTTATAGTGTTCTGTGAGAGGGGGTGAATGGGCAGAGCTAGGATGGGGGCTGCAGAGCAGGCACCAGCTCAGCCTTTGGAGCAGAAAAGCATCGTCTGTCTGTCCTACCCCTCCCTATGTACATGCCCGCCTCCCTCCTTCCCTCCATTCGCACCATCCCTTCATGACTCCCTCCATCCCTTCGTCTATCCCTTTATCCTCCATTCCAACCCTCCCTTCATCCCTCCCTCTCTCTGTCCATCTCCTATCCATCCCTCTCCCATCTCTCCCTCCCTCCTTTCTGCCCTCCCTCCCTCCCACACCTTCCCTCCCAGCTGAGGTGTCCCCAGCAGATGTCCAGGCACTCTCCCTTTAGGATACAAATCCAGAAAATGAGGCAAACCAGGGTTTTCCTCCTCACCTTCTGCTTCCAACACCCTGGAACAGTGCTGGCACCACTCATGCCCAGTGCCTGCCACCCGTCCCTGGGTGACACCTGCGTGACTTTGGGACTGTCTCAAGGACCCAGCCTTGGTGGCTGTGTCCTGGCTTTCCACAGGGCATGAGAGCGTGGGTAGCCATGGGGCTTGAGGGTGATTTTGCACCGTCAGGGGATGTTCAGCCCTGAGGGGACAGTGAGAAGTGCTTGGGATGGCTGCACCCCCCGGGCTCCCCTGAATGCCACTGCCTGCCCCTGCAGCCTTCGGGCCAAAAGCCTTGGGTGTTCCTGGGCTGCCCCTTCAAAGCAGATGGAGCATTTAAGGCGTAGAGGACAGATTATTCCAATAGCTTTCTCACCTGGGCTGCTGCTGCAATGCCAGGGTGACTCCATGGGGTCCTGATGTCCTGCTGATGGGGGGTTTAGGGGCACTGCAGGGAGCAGGGGAGACCCTGCAGAGCCCTTGTGGTGCCAATGGGAGGTGGACATCTGCCCCATCTCAATCCCACAGCATCTGTTGCTGAAAACACCAGCGGAATGTCCACTTGCTTTTGACTTTCTCCTGTGCTGCCACCGCCTCATGGCGTGTGTCACCCTCAGGCTGTTAATTCAGGGAATTCACTCCTTGGACGCTCCTTCCACACTTCCTGCACCGTTCCACATGTTCCTTGCATGCTTTTTCACTTTTCTAGCACACTCCTCACACACCCATTGCATGTGCCTTCCACACTCCTTGTCCCATTCCTGCACACCCCTTTCATGCTGTTTCACACTCCTTGCACATTCCTTGCGGCCGAGCTGGTGGCTTTGCTCATTCCAACACCTGCCCCACAGCAGCCCACCCAATGCCCCTGCCAGGCCCTCGTTATGGTGTAAGAGCCCCATCATTCTGCATTAATCTGGGATTCATCTTGCCAGCGGGGCGGCGTAATTAATTTATTTGGTATTAATGTCGATGAAATATGTACTGTCCTTGCAGGGGAAAATCAGGCAGCCTATAAGCATTAGTTAAAAGAACCATTAAAATCAAACCTTCCTCAGCTCCATTAGGCCGGTCTCTCACTCTGAGGAAGATAAACCCCCGCCGTGTGAAGTGTCATGCATAATAAGGTTGATTGCTGGTTTAAACTCTGCCCTGTCTGCTGGTCCCAGTCCCATCTCTGCCCAGCAAAGCTCACCTCGCCGGGGGGCTCAGGGTCACCCGTTTCTCCCTGCAGGCGTTTCGGGACCAAATGCACGGCGTGCCAGCAGGGCATCCCCCCCACCCAGGTGGTCCGCAAGGCTCAGGACTTCGTGTACCACCTCCACTGCTTCGCCTGCATCATCTGCAGCCGGCAGCTGGCCACGGGGGATGAGTTCTACCTGATGGAGGACGGGCGGCTGGTCTGCAAGGAGGACTACGAGACTGCCAAGCAGAACGGTAGGCACCCCTCAGGGGCTGCGAGGGGCACAGCACACCGAGGGCCGGCCATGGCTCGTGCCACTGGTGAGCCTGTGGGAAGGTGTCCCTGCAGGCTCCGGGACGGCTGGTTCTGGGGAGATATTCCCAGTGCCGTGGGCTGGCAGTTCAGAGATGGTACCGCCTGCTTCGCTTGCAGATGACTCCGAGGCGGGCGCGAAGCGACCCCGGACCACCATCACAGCCAAGCAGCTGGAAACGCTGAAAAATGCCTACAAAAACTCCCCCAAGCCCGCCCGGCACGTGCGGGAGCAGCTCTCCTCCGAGACGGGGCTTGACATGAGGGTGGTGCAGGTGAGGCCGTGGGGGTGCCCCTCTCCACCCTGCCCTCAGAGAAGGGTGACACTGGGGTCCCTCTGGGGTGTCTGGGTGCTGCATTTCAGGGGATGCAGGGGTGGCAGAGGTGTTGGGGTGGCATGGCTGCTCGGGAGCTGGGCTGCAGGGATGTTGGGGTCCTGGTTTGCATGGAGGTGTGGGAGATGGGGTGTGGGGGTGCTGGCATGCAGGGTTGCAGGGGTTTAGGGGTGCTGGGTTGTATGAGTGTGTCCCTCCTTGTTGTCCCTCCTTGCCCTCCAAGCTGGGCACATTGGTGCTGCATCCATGTGGCCCCCTCCTCCCCAGCTGGCATACTGGGTTGCAGGGATGCTGGGATGCTGGTGTGCCAGGGTGTTGGCATGCTGAGGTGCAGGAGTGCTGGATTGGAGTGCTTTGGGTAGCAGAGGTGCAGGGATGCTGGGATGTAGCGGTTCCACGGGCGTTGGATGCAGGAGCGCCGGCACGCAGGAGTGCCAGGGTGCCGCGGTGCCATCGATGTCCCCACTTCCCGCCCCAGGTGTGGTTCCAGAACCGCCGGGCCAAGGAGAAGCGGCTGAAGAAGGACGCGGGGCGGCACCGCTGGGGGCAGTTCTACAAGAGCGTGAAGCGGAGCCGCGGGGGTGGGAAGCTGGAGAAGGAGAGCTCGGCCGAGGACTGCGGTGTCAGCGACAGCGAGCTCAGCTTCCGCGGTGAGCGGGGCGCCCGCGAGGGGCCGGGGGGCCGCGGGGCCACCCCCTGCGCTGACCCCCCGCCTCTGCTGTCCCTCCTCTCCCCGGCAGAAGACCAGATCCTCTCCGAGCTGGGCCACAACAACAGGGTTTACGGCACCGTGGGGGACGTGGCGGGCGGACAGTTGCTGAACGGCGGCTTCTCCATGGAGGGGACGGGACAGTCGTACCAGGACTTGCGGGACGGGAGTCCCTACGGCCTCCCCCAGTCGCCGTCGTCCATCTCCTCCCTGCCGTCCCACCCGCCCTTGCTGAACGGGCTGGACTACGCCATGGACGGCAGCCTGGGGCTGGTGGCCCACGGGGCGCAGGGGGTGAGTCAGACGCTGCGGGCCATGGCCGGGGGGGGCCCCACCTCCGACATCTCCACGGGCAGCAGCGTCGGGTACCCAGACTTTCCCACCAGCCCGGCCTCCTGGCTGGACGACATGGATCACCCCCCTTTCTAAGCGCTGCTCGCCCCCCGCCCCGGCCCCCTCGCTCCCCCCCCAGCCAGCAAGCGCAGCACTGAGGGCACCCGCCGGCGGTTGACCTTTCCAGGATTTCCCATGGGAATTGGCCCCGGAGGGCTGCAGGGAGGGGCGGGCAGCACTGGCGGTGGGTAGGGGCGTCTGTGCTCGGGGCGAGGGGCACGGATGCCTTCGGGTGTAAGCACAAGAGAGGTGTCGGCGCACGGGATGCACGGCGAGGACCCGGCGCAGGGCTGGGGCACGGCCGTGGTGTGGGACAGCGGGAGGGAAAGAAGGACAATCAGGGATGGCAGAGTCCGTCCCGGCACCCGCGCCAGCCCCGCAGTTCCCACACCCCCCGGCCGAGCATCGCTGCTATTTTCAAGAGTTATTTTTCGATACGGAGTTGAAATGCAACTCGGCGCTGCCCGGAGCCTCAGCAGAAAGAGAAATCTATATTGTAGAAGGGTTTATTTTGCCGGGGACGTGTCCGAGCGAGGCCACTGCCCCTCTGCCCGGAGCGATGCTGCCGGGGAAGATCCTGCCTGCTCCTGGCCTCGTGGCCGCGGGGCCATGATTTATCCCTGGGCACACAGGAGTGTTTATGGAGCATCACTGCGGTTTCACCATGGTCACGCGATGGGGAGGAATTAAAAAACAATGCCTCTGGCTCGGGATGCCCACTGGCCAAGCTGGGCTGTGGTGGAGCCAGCAGGGATGCTTGGGGTTGGCACCTGGAAAGCAGCTGCTGGAAGAGTGGGTGGGAGAGGTGGTCAATGTTTGCTCTGAGGGTATTGCAAAAAATTCCCCCCCAAAGGGGGAAAAAGAGTATTTTGTCAGCTGCAGAAGCAGCTGCGTGGTGGGGAGTGGAGGGGATTGGGGTGTGAGATGTCCCTGGTATAGGCCACCGATGTCCTTTGGTGCCGTGGGGCTGATGGCACCAAGGGTGGGTGCAGGCATCCAGGGAGGATTCAGGTGGCTTTGGCACATCCTGCAAGCCCCATGGGGTCTGCTCCTGTCCATGCCCACCCAGTACCAGCCCCTTGCTCAAAACCCATGTGCCTGTCTCCCCCAGCACAGTCCGCATCCCCTACCCTCAGACATTCAGCTCCATGGATAAAATCCAGCTCCACACTCTCTGCCCGGGGTGCCCAGCTCTGTCCCAACCCCACAGGGATGCCCCAGCCTCCAGATCCCTGCCATCCCCTCTGGCTCTGGGGTGATGCTGATGATCCCAGACTGCCATCCATCAGGGAGGGCTGGGGGTGGATCCCCTCAGCTGGCTGCTGCCAGGGGCATTGGGAGCTCTGAAAGCAAAGAGGAAAAAAGAATAAAAATGAAAAAAAAAAAAAGCCACACAAGAAAGCACATCACTGGTCTGTCCCTGTCCCTCCTTGCCCCCCCAGCTGGGTGCATTGGTGCTGCAGGAGCTGCCCCAGCTGCATCCACGTGCCTCCTCCCTCCCCATCCTTGGATGCTGCTTCGTGCCAAGCCCCCGGCCTTGCTGGCACTGGTGGGGAGGGGGACAGGGGAGAGCCGTGCCCGCTGCTCTCCATCCCCCTTCGACAAGGCCAAATGTCTCCTCCTCCCCTCGCTGTGTAAATTTTGTACAGTTCCAGAAAGTGAGAGTCTTGTTTCCTGGGGGGGGGGGGAAAAAAAAAGGAAAAAAACCCCACAAAAACAAAAACCCAACAAAAATAATAATAAAAAAAATTTTAAAAGAATAAAACCTTATTTATTGCCATGTCTTGGGGAGAAACGATCCTGCCCAGCGCCCCTGAATTCGGGCCCAGGGCGTTGCTTTTGTTCCCTGCCCCCGGTGCATTGGCATGAGATGTGTACAGTCACCCCCTCCGCTGCGAGGGAAAGCGATGGCAAATAAACTCGGGATGCTCTTTAGCAGCTGCTGTCTTTGGGATTTTCTTCCTCAGTGGGAGGGCCGTGGTCACCATCAGCACTGCCTGCTCTGGCACCCCTGGCTGTTTGGGATCGGGATCGCTGGCATCCTGTCCGGGAAGCTGGCATTCCTGTATGGAACAGGTGACATTGGTCATGGTGCACTGGCTTTTTAGAGAGGTGGGTGGGTTTAGGGTGGGCATCTCCATCAGTGCCACACGGCACCCCAAGGTGCCACAGCTTTCCTGCCACCTGCAGCAGTGGCAGTCGGTGCCCGGCTGTGCCACCCCAGCGCTCGCCCAGCACAGGTGAGATGGAAGAGCCGTGCCAGGCGGGATGGGGGGGAGTCCAAGCCCCTCCGTGGGGGCACCGGTGTGTTGGTTTTATATATTTTAATCATTTTAACATTTAATGCTTCTCAATTAAAGTGATTTCCTGGAGTAGATGCCAAGCTTAGGGCGAATGCACATTAACCACTTTCTGTATCGGTAGTTAAAGGCACCAAGGGATTTAAACAGCAATCCGCAAGGCTGCTGGGGAAAGGTTTGGCTGAATAAAGCAGATTATAAACAATAATATATGTCTTTCTCTCCTCCCCCCCACCCCTGCTTTTCTTTTTTTTTTTTTTTTTTTTGGAAAGGCTCCAACCTCACAAACAGACCTAAAGTGCTATAAACATCTCCAGGGCTGAGCGCTCGGGCCCCAAATGTGCTCTCTGAAAGCACCAGCACCGTGGCTGCTGCTTTCCATCCTGGCTTTAACAAGAGCTTTTTTACTACCCAGTGTGTCCATCAAGCCAGGCAGTGGCTGTGCATTATGGCACTGCACAGCAGTGGTCTCGTTTGTCCCCAGCCTTGATGCCACCATCACAGAACCAGTGTGACCCCAGTACTGCGGTTGGGTCTTTGCTACCCGGATGCAAAAGCTACGGGCTGTGATGAGCCTGGGCACTGCCAGCCTGGGGGTGCCCTGGGCAGGAGGAAGGGGAGCAGAAGCTGTTGTAGGCCCTGGCTTAATATTAATGGAAAATAACTCTCCAAGCCATTTTCCCCACCATGGAGCCTGGCCCGTGCTGTGTGTGGTGCAGTGGCAGTGCTGGAGCCAGAGCAGTGACTTTGCCAGTGCTGGCAGGAGCCACAGACACCGTGAGGGGCCAAAACCCTCACGTGCCTCCTGCCCAGCCGGTCCTCAGCGAAGGGAACATTCCCATTTCTTTTCCTGAGGCTGGATGTGCTGCAGAAAGGACTTGATGGCAAGTGGCTTCCTGTCACAGCAACGGAGATTTCCTATGCTTCCCTTCAAGGTTGTAAATCTTGTCTGGGGAAAAACAAACTCACAGCAATGTCCCACAGGAAAGGCATGGTCTCCTCTTGCCACACACTCACCCAAGGCAGCAGCCTCCCTCCCACCTATCCCAAAGCACAAACCCAGCCCTGATGAGGAAGGAGGAAGCCCAATAACCATCCCACCTAACTCCAGCACTTGGGCATTGCCATGAGGCATATTTTTCCCACTTTCTGGACATTTGGCCAGCTGAGAAGACCATGAAGTACCTGAGAGGCCCACAGGGGTGACAAGGTGGGTGCAGGTTTATCTCTGTGCCCAGCTCTTACCAAACCTCAGCTCTGAATGAGCCACTCCAGGGACTGGTACATGGCAGGAGGACCTGGAGCTGATTATGGAGGTGAGGGTTTAAAGCCATTTTATTCAACAAAGTGGTTGTGTGATGTGGTAAAAGTCCTGTCAGCTTGGAAGGGTTGGTTAGCAACATGTGTTATGTGAGAAACAGAGGGACAGACAGACACTTGTATGACCCTCCTGTCTTTGCAGGCCTCTCTCCACAGGACAAGAGCTTGAGCAGAGCTGTGGCAACACTGAGCTACCTCCCATCCTTATTGCTCCCAAGGAATCAAGTCACTCCCTGAGGAAAAAAAATAAAAAACCCAAACACTCCATCCCGACACTGTGCTTTTATTTATAATATTTCGTTTGGACCCAGGGGAAAAAAAACCATAAACCAAAGTTCAACCTGAAAGCGAGAGATGAGCATCCCTCACCTGGCCCAGCAACCCTACCCTCCCCATGGAGGAGCCGACCAGTCAGCCCAGGCTGCTCCAGTGAGACAGCCAATGCAGTACTTGTGTCTGATACATTAAAATAATTCCTGGGGCCTTCTCCAGGCCCTCTCCCCACTCCCTCCCCCCTCAAATACTGATAAATGTCAGAGCATGCAGAACTCTGATCCCATCCTGCCCAGGGTATGTGCTTGGCCCTCGTGCTGGAGAGCCCGGCCAAACCCTGTGCTCTAAAAGGTCCCCTTGAACACCCGAGGCGACTGGGGAGGGCAGCGGGGAGGGGGGGAAGGGGTGTTATTGCAGAGCATCTCTGTCCCCCCGCAGGGTCAGGGCTCGCCGGTGACGTGCTGCTGCAGAGCCGAAGTGATGGCTTTGGAGTCTGTCACCTCCTCCGGCAGGCAGCCCTCCTGGTCCCGCAGCCCGGGGTCTGCTCCCGACTGCAGCAACAGCTCCACGATGTCCAAAAACTCGCAGGTGGCAGCTGGAGGGAGAGAGGGAAGGGTTAGTCTGGGGATCCTGCCCCGAGGCGGCGGTGATGGGCGTTGCTGGAGCGGTGGCTGTAGCTGGCGACTTCCCATGCGTGTGCCGGAGGCAGGAAACGCCGTCTCAGCACCTGGCCCGGTGCAGCAGATCATTTTTCGGGGCAGTGTTCAGTACACAATGTATTACTTTGGATTTAATAGTGCAAAGGAAGGAGAAAAGACAGAGTGAGAGCAAAGCCAGAAGTCCAGGGGAGGTGTTACTGGTGCAACCAGCACCCCAGAGCCCACAGCCCAGACACGGAGCTGCCGGGAGCCCAGGGGTTTGCACGGCATCACCTGGGACACAGAGGGAGCCTGGGCACAGTTGGCTAGGGCTCCTTCACATCCAGGAATGGAGACTGACCCTGGGAAGGGCCCCAGAGTGCTGGTGCAGCACTGTAGAGAGCCCCAAAGGGCTACCTGGGAAAGCATACCCTGTCTGCTTTTGAACCAACAATTTATAATGCATTTATCTGTATCTATACCTATATCTATATCTAACGTATCTATTTATGTATAACATCCCTGTAAGTCCCCGCCCCTCACCTGCCTCCTGAACCTCCTAGGGCTCCACAGGCAGCACATTCCAGGCAGGACATCATCAGAACTGCCTTGCTCCTGGCTTTCATCCATCATTTCTCCTTGCAGAAACTTCGGATGGTTTTTAGCTGCTGGCCATCCCCTCCCTGAGCACCAGCTCCAAGGGGCTGTGTCTGTGCCCTCGGACAGCTGGTAATGGCACACACACTTGCACCTCCACTAGGAACTGTTTCTAAATCCCTGATTTTCTCTGCCAAGATAGAATCAAGTTTGACCTGAGCTCTTCTCTGTCCCCAGGATGTAACAATCCTACCTAAGGATGCTAAAAAAATAAAAGAACCAGGAAAATCAGGAAAACTCTTTAGCACTTAAGAGATGGACTTGGCTGATATCAGTTGAAGTTCCAGACCCTGGATTTTCCCTTAAGGCCATGCAAAGCAGATCCTAGAGAAGCCAAAACTGTCTTATGAGGCTGTGAAGGTGGTACCTTTCCTCTTGCATTGTTAGCAATTGGTTTTAATTGTATTTTGGGTGCTTTTATAATGCAACTGACGGACTCTTTTAGTAACTAGAGAGTCTTTTGCATTACTCTGCAATTCTCTACTGATCCAGCAATATCTCATTAAAATAAAGTCAATGTGCAATTGGAGTTTATACTGAAGATAAAACAAGGAGGAAAAAAGGGGGAAGGGGTTGGTGAGGAAGCAGGTGGGGGGTGTGGGTGAGGCTGAGCTGAAGAGCCGGGGGGCACATCCCTTTGCAGAAAGCAGACTTCCAGAGATGCCAAGGAAGCTGTTGTGGCAGGTTCTGGGGATGGGAAGCTGGTTGCCCACACAGGGAAATGCAACTTTCTCGTCTGGTGCCACCGTTGGGCACAGCCCATGTCCTTGAGTGGGCTGGGGACATCCCAGGGGATGAGCACAGCTGGTGGATTTATGGCACCCTGGGACCCTCGATTTGTCAGGGGCCGGAGCGGCAGCCCTGACACTGGCACGGGTGAAGATGAATTTCCATTCAGCGCAGTTCGCCTCCCGACTCCATTAATCCTCAGGGTTCAGATGATGAATTCTTTTTTTTTTTTTTTTTTATTATTTATTTTCCCTCCAGCATCCCCTCCCACTGCCCTGCCACAGCGCAGACAGAGCCGAACAGATGGTGCTTTG